CCGGGTATGCAAGTCTCAGAAATCTCAGAAGCAAGGCAAGCCAGCTCGGCGATAACGCCCTGGACTACCCGCCGCCTCGGGCCACTTACATCACTCCACGCTGTCGACTACAAGTAGTAGTACTTAGGTCCGAAGTGTACCCCTTCCCAGTTCCAGAAACTCTCCATAGGAGCTGCCAGGAGTCAAGATACTAGTAGTGCGACGGTGATCCTGCCGCTGACTGGTTTAAACCTCGGGAAGACATATTCACCCACATGAGGAATTTGCCGAAATCGTGAACTAAATGGTTGTAGCTCGTTGCTTATTGCTTGTATAGACACACAGACTATCGTACAGAGAACGCCTTCACATACATACATCAGAGAACAGAACCCTTGTAAAAAGAAATGAAACTCTAGTGCCTGGTTATTATACTACCAAGGACGCCCCCTGTTCACCAGCGAAAAACTTCTTCTGCTCCAAGCACCTCTCACTCTTGCAGCCTTGACAACGCAGAGTCATTTGCAGCGAGCATTTCTCTCCCTTGTGCAAGTGCTCTTGAGCAAGATCTGCAAGGGCTTGGATGAATATAGGGCTGCCGTTCAGACTTTCGGCCCGCTTGACACCCGGGTGATTCGCCTCTTCCATGACTTCGAGATCCAGCTCATACAGAGTCTCGATGTGGTCGCTGGTGAAGGCGATTGGTACGAGGACAATGTCAGTCTGTCCACGCTTCACATACTCTTGAACGGTATCGCTAGTCTGCGCCCCCAGCCAAGCCTTTGGTCCAACCTGAGACTGCCAACAGAGGCGGTAAGGGTTGCTGAAATTGAGTCTTTGCATGACCGCATGCACAGTTGCAGCGACCTCGGCTGGGTAGGGATCACCTAAAAAAGAAAGTACTCGATTAGCCACCGGGACTCTCGTGACAGGTTCCTCAAGGACTCACCTCTGTTCACAACACTCATGGGCAAACTGTGGGCCGAGAACAAGAGAACCACTCCATTCCTCTTATCTTCCGGATAGGTTTTGAGTTGGTCCTCAATGTTTCTCGCAAACGCCTCCACAAGGCCAGGGTGCGTAGGCCATCTGTCAATAACGCTCCACTGGATGGCTCCGGAAGTGTCCACGTTTCCGTTTGCTCGCTTGCCCTCCAGCCGATTCCTCCATTTCCACAACTCATTCAGAGAGCTACCCGTAGTAGAGCAGGAATATTGAGGGTATTGCGAAAATGCGACCGCACGACCGCCCTTGCCATTGCCAAAACCATCTTCCAGCAATTGTGTGTACATTTGTTCCGTCAGCGGGTTGGCGTAACGGAAGGCGACATACGGCTTGTGAGGCGCAGTCTCCGGGTTGATCTTGTCCAGCAGCTTGCACATTTCTTCGCATTGGTATTCTGACCATTTCCTGATGGGTGAGCCTCCGCCGATGTCCGCGTACTGTTTCTGGATCTTGGGTGTGCGTCGCTTCGAAATGAGAGGCCCGAGGTAATTCTGGAACCTGCCTAGAGGAATCAAATCGCCGTCGGCCTTTATTGAAAGTAGACTGTTAGAAATATTGCAGCCAAAATGACAGCTTGCCATGGTCGGAGACGTACAAAGAGCCGGCTGAGGAAATCCTCTACTTCGTCTGTCGTCGAGGGCCCTCCCATGTTGAGGAAGACCATGGCCGTAGGGCCCTTAGAGCCGGTTGCATCCTGGGTAACTGGAGGTACCGTTGTCGCCAGTCCACATCTTTGTTCCTGCCTGTATCCGAACAGGGTGCGAGATGCCGGTCGCAGCAATTGCCGGGGAAGAGTAAACGGGCGCCGGAGAGCCATGACCGGTAATTGTAGGATCGATTAAGCTAGTCAAAGGAGGTACAAAGAAAGACCGTTCGTATCGCGCAAGTGGATGAACAATTCAGGCCTGCATTAAACAATAAATTGATAGACGAGTGGCAAGAAGAGGTAGTGGGTGTATACAACAGCGCAAGGCCTTCTGGAAGCTGAAAAGTCCAGAACGGCTTGATGACGGAGCATCCCGATCGATACCACGACTAACTCCGACCCCCGACAGCCAATGACCGGCCACCTAGCGTCATCAATTACAGGGCGGGCATCACATGATGTTCGTGTCTCCCCGCGTCTTTCTGCCCGCCGGTTTTATCGCGTCCCTCGCGACGGGATCCAGTGACGATATAGATACTACTGCTATTAGATCTCCCCTCGGCTGCAGGCAGCAGAGGCCAAACAGGCAGACACAACAGCCCCACTTGTTCCTTATTCTAAATGCAACTTATCTAAAAGCTTTATACTTCCCTGTCTTCATTTCGATACTACCTTGAATACTTCAACCCACTCCACCACAACCAGTATGGCGGACGGTAACCCACATCGCGAAGATGAAGCGGCTGAGGAAGAGGAGGAGATTGATGAGACTGTACGCACATCCTACCATGAGCCTGGACTGAAAGTCCGGAACTGACGATAAGATCAGAGCTACAGATCAGTCAAAGATGCAGTCCTCTTCGCAATCGACGTCAGCGATTCCATGTTGACGCCTCGTCCCTCAGCAGACCCTAAGAAACACACCCAAGAATCACCCACTACGGCAGCGCTCAAATGCGCCTATCACTTCATGCAACAGCGAATCATATCCAATCCACAAGACATGATGGGGGTTTTGCTGTTTGGGACGCAGGCGTCCAAGTTCTTTGAAGAAGATGAAGACAGTCGCGGAGACCTCTCCTACCCCAACTGCTACCTCTTCACCGACCTGGATGTTCCTTCGGCCCAGGAAGTCAAAGAACTTCGAGCGCTGGTGGATGATGATGGAGACTCAAGGGAGGTCCTATCTCCGGCGAAAGAGCAAGTCTCCATGGCAAACGTTCTATTTTGCGCCAATCAGATATTCACATCCAGAGCGCCAAATTTCCTCTCCCGGCGGTTGTTCATTATAACCGACAATGACAACCCCCATGGTGATGATAAAACCCTACGGTCGGCCGCGACTGTACGTGCTAAAGATCTTTACGATCTTGGTGTCACCATTGAGCTGTTTCCGATCTCACGTCCTGAGCATGAGTTCAGGAACAGCAAGTTTTATGACGTAAGCTATCATACTCTATGGCAAAGTGGTAGGGGTCAATACTCACTCCACATACAAAGGATATTATCTACAAGTCATCGCCCAACGATCCAGAGGCGCCTGCGTATCTGCAATCAGATTCAAAGGCGGCGACAGCGACCGGGGATGGAATTTCACTCCTCAACACGCTTCTATCCAGTATCAACTCAAGAACGGTCCCGCGTCGCACTCATTTTTCGAACATGCCTTTAGAACTCGGTCCAGACTTCAGGATCTCGGTATCGGGCTATATACTCTTACGAAGGCAAGCGCCCGCTCGAAACTCCTTCATCTGGCTGAACGGCGAGAAGCCTGTGGTCGCGAAAGGCGTGACTACCCATTCTGCAGATGATACTGGCCGTAATGTCGAGAAATGGGAGATCAGAAAGGCATATAAGTTCGGTGGAGACCAAGTAACATTTTCGCCCGATGAACAGAAGGCGCTCAGGGACTTCGGTGAGCCAGTGATCAGAGTTATAGGGTTCAAGCCTATCACTGCGCTTCCATTTTGGGCGAACGTCAAACACCCATACTTTATCTATCCATCCGAGGAAGACTATGTAGGCTCCTCGCGAGTATTTTCTGCATTGCACCAGACGCTTTTGCGTAACAAGAAGATGGCACTCGTCTGGTTCATTGCACGCAAGGGGGCTGGCCCCGTCCTCGCCGCTATGATCGCAGGCGAAGAAAAGCTTGATGAGAATGGCGTACAAAAATATCCTCCTGGCATGTGGATTGTTCCTCTCCCGTTCGCAGACGATATCCGGCAGAACCCTGAAACTACGCTGAATGTCGCGCCGGAGTCATTAATTGATCAGATGCGCGTGGTCGTTCAGCAATTGCAGCTGCCGAAGGGGGTGTACGAGCCTCTCAGATACCCCAATCCATGTAAGTCAACTCTGCCATCCACTGCTCGTATACTATGAAAGAGAAGCTGACAACCCGTAATCAGCCCTTCAATGGCATTACCGCATCCTACAAGCTCTCGCATTAGACGAAGATCTCCCTGAAAAACCAGAAGACAAAACCATCCCCAAATACCGCCAAATCGACAAGGTACATCCACCCATACCCAACACAACTCCTGATATTGAACATACTAACAACTCAATTCCAGCGCGCCGGCGACTACGTACTATCCTGGGCCGACGAACTCGAAAAACAACACGCCAAAACCTCAGCAGCGGCCTCTCCCCCAACAAGCACCCTCGTGAAAAGAGGATCCAAAGACCGAGCAAGCGAAACCGAAGACTCCAAACCATCGAAGAAAGTCAAGGTCGAGGAGGGCTCCGGAAACCTAGAGGAAGAGGTCCGCAAGCATCACGAGAAGGGGACGCTATCCAAGGTAAGCCAGCACAAGCGTCCTACATGGCCCCATGATGGTATCTATGACATTTTACTAACCAGCGGTTTCTAGCTTACGGTCGCCATCCTGAAAGATTTTTTGACCTCGAATGGACGCTCAAATGCCGGTAAGAAAGCGGATCTTATCGAGCGGGTAGAGGAGTTCTTGGAGCAGTAGCAATGGCACGCATCTGTTTGATCCGCTATTTATCACTCCTAATGGTGGCTGTCGTTATCTGATAGCATGAGCTTGTAATTACTGGTGGGGTTGGATGTCGACAAAAAGGAGTCCTTCAACGAATAACATAATGGAAACGCTTTTTAGGCGTTGTACAATTATTGTCCCATTGAAAAATATCGCTTCCGCTGGACTAGCGGGATGCCATCAAATTCGGAGACCAATAGTAGAGACACATAAATTTGAATCATCCGAACCATCATATCAGGTCCAAGTAGTTTTCCAAGAAGAAAAGAAAAAAAAAAAAAAAAAAAAAAAAAAAAAAAAAAAAAACCGCTCAAAATTCGGTTACAGAGGTCTTTATCCCCCAGGAACAATTCACCAATGCAGCAGGTGCGCGTATTTCCAAGTTCGAATTAATATTTGAAACGATTGTAAAATATCCAACCAGATTCGCCGTTAACGATAGGAGTCAGGCTTCTTCGCCGAAAAAGAAAATGGGGGGGACGAGTGTGTCAATCGAGTCAACTTGAACCGAGCAGTCCCTGTAAACAACGCCACGCTGTTTGTAATATCCCTGTAGAAACGTATTGTCGCTGGTAACATCCACAAGAACTTGGTTTTGAAAAAAGAACGGGTAAAAAAAAAATAATAAATCTCCAAATGGGACAATATGTCGAAAGAAGATAGAAAGAGAGAACCAAGCAAGAGAGCGCCGAAAGAAGGAAGCTATCGTAATATATACAAGTAGAAGCCGTGGGTATTTTTGGTAAAAAGCAGAAACGTTAATGGTATGCGTACAATGATCAACATTGTCCATAAACTTGACAGTAGCAGACTTCTTCGTCGGGACAGCTGTGAGTAGCGGAATGTTAGTGGTCAAGATGCATTCAGGGGGTGAACGATGCAAAGGCAACGTACTATATTGATTCTTTGCCAAATATGACGTGCCAGAGGAATTCCATGACACGACCGCTACTGGCATCATTCTTGTCCGTGTCGATAATCCACTGGCGGATCTTGATGTAGTCTTCTCGTGGTCGTTGGTGGACCTGCTCCCGTGACACGGCGAATTGCGCACAACACGCCGCGCCAATCTGTTTCGGCATTTGCAGGAACTTCTGGTATTTAGCCTCGTCGTATTCATCTTGCATCGTGAGGCCTCCGGTGGAGTTTAATGGTGGGGTGCTTGTGCCCTCGAAGATCTCTGCAAAGACTTCTTCTGTCACGTGCTGGTTGGTGCGATGGCCCTGCTTGCACCCTGGGTTCCAGTTGCAGCGGAGGTTGACGTAGCCATTATCTTGAACGAAATTGAGACGTAAGGATTTCATCGCAATGACATTGTCGTGTAAGGGCGCATCTACATGCCAGGCCATCAGGAAACCCGATCGATGAGAATGAAGAAAAGCTATTGTAGACGGTAGGTTGTCGTAATGATCAATTAGATAGGTGAGATAAGCCATGGACTCGTGACCCTTGTTCAGCGGGGTTGTAAGTGTCGTGTCGTCAGCTGCGACCTTTTTGGAAGGATTCACGATGTATATGGCTCGTTGCCAGCTTTGGAGGAGAGAAGCTGTCAGTGCGCTGAAACATATGGGTAATATAGGAGGACAATGACACTCACTCGGGTAGCTCCTCCTCGACCCATTCAGTGTGTTCTTCCTGTAGCTTGGCCATCACAATCACTTTATCCCCTGGTGTGACAGGACGGGAGCCATTTAGTCTGTTCATCGGCGGGCGCAAATCCAGCCAATTGATCAGGTATGCGCCCGCGCGATACTGATCGCAGAGGTCCTCGAGGTGGATTTTCAAGAGATATAAGGGCAATATGAGTGCTAAACTAGCACATAGTGCTATGCGAGCGCCCCATCTCATGGTGGATAGCTGAAAGTCGGTAGCTTCTTTGCACGACTCGGGACTTTATTCAAAGAAATTGGTCGAAAAGCCAACGAGGTATATAATCGTAAGGCCGTGATCAATGTAATACAGCTTAAACACCGTTATTCTCTTATGAGGGTGACAAAACTGGAGGTTGATGAAGGTTGAAGTTGTCACAATACAGCTTGGTGTAAGGAATGACTTGAGTCGGGAAAGACCGATAAAGATGCAAGACGGAGATGATTATTTTCAAGCATTTAAAGGAGGGTCAATCCGATGAGGAAGAATCCAAAGGAAGGAAAAGAGGGGGGGAGGAATTAAGTAGGAAAAAAAGGAGGGTATTGGAGGGGCTATATGTGAAGCATATTGCGAAAGATAGAGGACGTGAGAGAAGGGGAGAGAGAAGACGGACGAGAGGGGTCAAGGCGAGGTAATCAGGAAAGGAGACTGGAGGAGCATTGATTAAACCTATTCGTCTGCCTACCAAGGCGGTAGGTGCAGTAAGTAAGTAGTTCTAAGTACGTAGTAGGTACTTTTTAGTGACTTTGGGACTAAAATAGTCACTAAGACGAGTAGTAGTAGACTTAGACTTAGTAGGCGTGGGAGGAAGGTCCATCGAATGCTTCCAATTCCAGTCCCCATCTGCCAGCTTCTGTTTCGCCCGCTCAGGCACAGCGAATCTTTCAGTCAATCTTTTGTTGTGGCGCGGCAATGGAGGGAGTGGGGCGTAACCGCAACCCCCACTGAGCGGCCACGCGTTAAAATTGTTGCTATCGTTTGGCTCCCCAAAGATGAAGACTAAGGGGGGGAGTGGAAGAGGCTGTCATAGGCTGTTGGGGGAATGGAGAGTCCCCTCAGACAATCGCAAACCTTAAGGGAACCACTTTCTTTCCTTAGCGGGCTCTTAGCGGGGAAGCTTGGCAGCCGCCAAGTTTAGACTGGGAGCACGACATCTTGTCTTTAGGGTTACTTTGAGACATACCATAATTGATTACAACTTAGCGCTTATAGCACTCTCGGTATCGTTCCTAATCCCTTGTCCCCATCTCGGAGTCTCCCCTCCATGAAATCTTCTCCTCCTCGTATAAAGAAGTTGAGGCCCTTCCATGCCTCAACTTGGCTGTTGCAAAAACCATGGACCATTGGTGGCGGTCAACCTTTGCCCCTTGACGGGATGACGTCGCGGGGGCCATTGCGCGTACGTGGGCACCACTAATATCTCTGGCCAAATATGCCCACGCAGCTGCGACGCTAATCCGCCATGGTTCGCATGTCACAGCCTTCTTTCGAAACCCAACGTTCGACGGTTTCCAAGTTTATTCGGTTGGATTGCCAAAAACTGTCACCCCGGATCGGGCAACATTGTCTCGCACGTCCCGAACACGGTGGACAAGATAATGGCCATGAGACATTTGAAACAGACAGGCACCGGCGGGCAGGCGAACGAACACGAAGAACCATGGCCCACTGCGTACCAATCTAGATACGTACGTGGTCAGCTGGGGAATGGATATATGATTTGCCCGCCAGATGACAAGTGCCTCGGGGATTTATCCACTGATAAGGACTCAAAGTCAGACTTAACAACCCACATTCGGATCTAATTTCTTTTTTTTTATCCATCCGGCTTCATCTCGCCGCCCCGCCCATTCTGTGTCTTGACTCTTTTCGGCTTTCCTGCCTCTTCGAATTCGTGGCTCTTGTGTCGCTTAATCTCTACCAGGTCATCTTCGAGATATACTAAGCTTACTCAGTACTATTCCGGTTTCGGAAACCCCCAAAATAGCCTTAACAGTCAATGTGGCGCCCAGCAAGGCTTAGCAAGGCTGACCTTATAAGGAAAGATAATGGCCCCCAGGATTAGTAGTGGATATTATCAGTAGCTAAATCGGTAACTTGGGACAGTGAATAGTGGTGCGGGGGAGAGGGGCAGGATGAAGGATTCATATGACTACATTAGAAAGATATATCAGGCAATACCCAGTGCTACTTTAGTTGGCGCCATACCCAGGCGCAGCCGTCAGTATCGGCCAATGGTATTATTACTACGTATCAAACCTATAGAGAATGAATCACCAGGAACCCATGCTCGCCAATTGAATCACAGAAGCAAGAACAACAAGACCGAGATGATCTTCATCTCTTGGAATATTGGGAGCTTGAACTCCTCCATGAACCATGCCAGTTCATATAGAAGCCATCTGAACTTACTCCACGGTCAGCGCACGCAGCTCCAAACATGTAGTAAGCCGTTGATAACTTCTCCTTTATCCATAGTTTAGCCTGGAGAACTACGCACGACTGTTATACTATGCTTGGTATCGACTCTACCAGCACCCTTGAACACTCATTCTAACCGAAGTTCTACACATATCATTACCCACGCGCACAGACATAGACTGTGGTCTGGGGACGACAATATAGTGACTTAGATCAGCTCCACTTGAGAGAGAGAGTGTGTGTGTGTGTGGATCCATATATCAAAGGGCGGCTCACAGGCTGTGATGGCGGAGAAAATAAGACCGTCGGACTCCTTCGGCTTTGCTGTGGACAAAGATAGGGTATTGCCATGGCTCATTATATTGTTGCCTGGCTCGATTCCCCAGAGAAATTACCTTTCGCGATCCCCTAAATCACCATTTGCCAGTTATTATTTCCATTAGAATTGATCAAGATGATTTTACTACTTTTGATCAGCCATTGCTCATCGCCTGAAATTCTTAAATCTGTTTTGATACTAAGTGCGGAATAACATGGACAACGTATTTTATATAGTGCGCAGCAGCGGAACAGTAACCCCGGAATTTTGAGAGGTCGATAGTGAATTTACTAACGATAATATAATCTCAAAGGCAATTACCGCTCTGGTACAGTACATGATACCTATTAACATCATTGCACTTTCAAATTCTGCCCTCTTCTCTCAAATTGTCTTCCTTTAGTTGGATTTGCATACCATTTAACGAACTGATTGTGCAACTACTGCATAGCACCGTGACACATAACAGAACTACATGGGCACCGCTGCATGGACTCATGCCTAAGCAAAGTTACATCATGAAGTTAAGTACGCGAGAGGAAGATCAGTAAATAGTGGTCAAATCTTAGAAATGGATCCTCCAAAGGTCTTGGCAACCGAGTACAAAGGGAGCAAGGGGCGCACAATAAGATTCAATGCTATCGAAGTTGCACAACTCAGCTGAGTCAAAGTTTCTTTTTTATTCTTTCTCTTCCTTTCGTCCAACTACTTGACATCTAACTAGAGCCTCAAAGCCGGTACCTAATGAACAGCTCACCCTTTCTCGGTGAGAGAGAGTTTCTGGAATGATGCGTCATCAAATGTGATTGACACGTGGTTCATCCCCTACGTGCGACATTGCAGGACCTGCAGATTGACAGATCGAGGTGACAATAGACACAGCATTTGTGCATTGGGGCTGTGCATTCAGCTGAAACCAAGTCTGTCTTTTGCTTTTCTTCTCTTCCAATAGTACTTTGTAAAGACGCGCGAGAACTGCCACTGAGTACTACAGAGTATTGTGTGTCGGGATCCCAATCGCTCGGCTTACAGATCACATGACCTTAGTTAAGCCCCGATCGGCATCAGGTGACTGGGAAGGGGGAGAAAAAAAGGCATCCATGCAAACCTAGCAAACAGGCCAGCCTCACCCAGCTGAAAGGGCTATCTCGAGGTAAGTATTACCGAATCTGCAAGAGTTGTGGTACGGGTACCTCTTCTTGTTGAATGCCGGGTACCGTGGATGGGATGGTTTTAGGGGAGGGGAACCCGCCCGACTGGTTTAGCAGTGAGCGGGAATGTGATGGTGGTGGTGGTGATCATCGGGCAGGTCACACTCTTCCAACTTAAAATGGGTTGTTGTTCGCTACGCGTGTGCGGGAGGGCTTACTTAGTTCCCTCTCCAGTAGTTGGTTTTACTTTGTACTTTGTGGACATCTGAATAACCTTCAATGTGCTTGTCTGGTTCCAAGGGAAGCTAGCTGATGACAGACCCCTAGCCCGGTAGATCGTGACTTGTCCCATGTCCCTATTCCGATATGGACTTCTCTTTGTATGTATGTATATGTATGGATAGATGGAGAATGTGGTGTCAAAGTCAAACAATCAATAAATGCCAGATCCCAAGATCGACTCCCCCTCTCCCAATCGGCCAGCATTGCCATTACGTATCCGATCAATTAATGCTTCAGGCACCATTTGTTTTGGCTCTGCTGCCCACAATAATTCTTGGAATTATTTGCTGTTAGCTTTGGGGGACTTTACCATCCTGGTACAAGCACTGCTGTGACTTTCTAGTGGTGAAAGCAGAGACGAGAGAAGAGAAGAAGAGAAACAGAGACAGAGGACAGAGAGAGAGTACTGTTGTTGACGGTTGGTGCTGACCGGAGGGGAACCTGAGGCAAACGGTGCCCCGAAGAATAATTAATTCCCCTGCCGGAGTGGGCTCCCTTTTCTTGGGTTAGTTAGTTCCTTTCTGGTGTCTCCCTCGTTCCTCACGACTCTTAGTACAACTACACTAACTCAGGGTACCCCAAGATTAGTAGTGAGGAAGAGTAGTGAGTGAGTTAAGTGAGGTAGTTAGCTCACTACTGGTTAGGGTGACTGACTCTCGTCCATCCGTCCCTCTCTCTCTCCTCCCTCCCTCCCTCCTCTCCTTCCCCCGCCCAACGAACGAGTCGTCCTCGTCTCGTTGACCAACAACAACAACATCAACAACTGGCACTCTCTGCCTTGAATCACTCTCTCATTTTCCCCCTTCCCTTCTCTTCCCTTTCCCCCCCGCCAATCTCCCCTTCCACCATTTCCAACTTCCCCCTTCATCCAATTGCCCTTTTTCATTTTCCTTGTGTCTACTTCCCCTTCGGACTTAAACCAACTTCTTTCTTTGCCTTTCTTTCCTTTCCCTACGTACCCTTCCTTTCGCATTGACCCTTGGTCCTTCCTTTTCTTCTACCACATCATTTTCACTCTTAATAATCCCTACTTATCTTATTTTGATCTTATCTATTGTATAGTGTGGACGCTTCATTGCATCCGCCTGTACCCGTAATTTCCTGGATTCTCCTTCCCTCCGTCCTTGGTTCTCATTCTGCGCCCGCTTCTCGGCGACTCCCTTGTTTCGCCCGCACGCCGCTGCCTCGTCCCGAAGGCGCACATCTGGTCGCACACGCGCAAGGTTACTCTGCGTTTACTGGACAGGCACGCGTTTGTTGTCCGAAGCTTCTCTTGGAGCAGGTTTTCACTTCCTTGCCCCAAGTCTCTTCGTCACAAATCGAGGCCTAACCGCCCACCTTCGGCTCCCGGTATCGTAATCCGCCGATACCAAAGTGTTTTTGTTGTCTTCTTCGGTCGGCAATCGACGCGGCCACCGCAGCGAATCATCGGTCACCAACGCGCATCC